CCGCAAACTCCTCTCTTTCAATGACATGTGATTCTAACACTTAGTTTCAAGTGTTCCTTAGTCCCTAAGGTAGTTTCCTTCCTCATATAAAGATATTACACCCTAATCTAATACATACTTGTTGTATTATATGTTAAATATTATCCGGTTGTGGCCAAGGCTACACTTAACAATCAACATCCCTATCGACACAACATTCGAATCACACAAGCAAACAATGAGTTCGTACCCCTGCGTTTTTAAGGTTTTTACGGGTTTTTAGGGGGGAAATACAAGCGAAACACAAAATAATTTTTGTGAACTAAAACAAAAATGTTTTCAACAAGTTAAAACTTATGTAACTTATACGATCCAACGCGTTTCATAAAACGTATCAACATTTATTCCCATTTGTATTATGCGGAGCGTAAGGGATGTTTTCTAAACGTAATTGTATAGTTTTGAGAATAGTACATGAACATAACATATCATTCAAACTATAATAGATATAGTTTGGGGAATTCGTTATCAGTTTTACAGATTCAAACTATGTACACAGCCGATCGTATAAACTATGTTAGAATTAGTTTATCCATTTCTACATATACATAACTAGAGTATCATACTAAATAATTATTTTGTGTATAACTATTATGCTCTACCCGGTACACAAACGATTTCTAACATGAGAACAATGATACAGAACAACACGTAAACTAGTTAATTCTGAATTGTGAGACATATCTTCATTGTGCCCTTCGGGGTATGGGTAAATCCTCTACCTTTAGTATATCCAGAGTCTACTGGAGGGAAAGTGTGAGATTTGTGAACAGATCTATTTGCGACTGGGAATCCTACACCTGAAATATTAGCCACAGTTAGGCAGGCAAGCTTGGGGTGACAAATTTTGTAACATACGACGCCTGAAGAAACGTCGTGGAGGTCATCAATCATATTAGCATGGTTATAAGAACTCCCAATAGTATAAACTAACCTTTGTTTACTGGATTATCATTCTTTAATAGTTTTATTTTAATGAATAAGTTACCTACATACTACACTAGAGGGTATTCCTGTGATGCAACATTTGGTTTTATTTTAAGTAATAAGACTACTTTACATACTAGTGGTAGCCATGGTTTTCAAACAAGAGCATACATACTGGTGGTAACCAGGGTTTTCAAATGGATCGTACTATTCATACTGTAATCAACAAACATGATAAAAAATATTGGATTTTATTGAAAAGCAAACAAACATTTATACAAATTCAGTGAGTAGTTTTCAATTCAAAAATATGCTTATGAACTCACCAGCTTTACGCTAATACATTTTCAAAAGCACTTCTATTCTCAGGATAGAAGTAGACAGGTACACTAGCCTGCTTTTAGAGAAGATGGAGCATTTTGGAGTCTTGTCTTTATCTTTTGCTACTTTTGATGTATATGAATCTTATATCAAACAAATGTAAATATTCATATTATAATTTAATGGTTGTCTTTACTTTGATTACCATGATGCAATTATTGTGATACTACATATGATGTCCTCCACCTCCCAGAAGTTTCTGTCGTTTGTTTTATACCGAACCTTACAAGGTATACAACTATAAACACTAAGGGGCTGAAGTGCTCTGAAGTAAAAGTATACTTTCAAAATATAAGTATTTTAAAAAAAAGTATACAAGTATACCTACATACCAGAAACAATATCTTATGTAGAACAAAACAAAAGTATTTGGATGCTAGACACTGCGGTTAAACCTGCGTAGTTATGTAATCATGTCTAGGGTCAATATAGCCTGATCAAATATATTTATCCGAGACATGACTAAAATGTGTTTGGGAGTTATTGTGGTGTTGCAGCAGGCCTGAAACTTCCCAGGTATACACAATGAGATATCGATAGAACAAAACATACAACTTAAAATACTATAGGAGTATTTTAATCAGAGCCAACTACATTGTAGAGATTCGTTCCAAGTGTTGCTATTTTTTTCTTCCTAGCGATAGTTTACTTGCATTAGTAACTTTTCCTTATTTATCGCTTAGTAGAATACTTTATCTATCAGATTGAGATATATCTTACTTCATATCTCTTGGTTCAAAAGTCTAAGGGACTTACCATCTTCTTCTTCCTGAATATTTTAGAATGAAGTGGCTCCAAAGAAAAGACCCAATATAAAGAACAACATTCCCCCAACCAATCCAACACCACTACCTCCTCTATTCGATCCTGCTATGTTCCATACAGCAGTCACGGCTGATGTGGCTGCCGAAATGTCACAGATAAATTCTGGCATCTCTAGCGGGTTGGGAAATGGTGCCCATCCCCTCGATCTCGATGGAAGCCAGGGACACCAGAAGGAGTGTTCCTACAAAGACTTTATCAATGTGAAGCCTATATCCATTGATGGCAATGGGGGTGTCGTTGCCCTAACTCGGTGGATTGAGAAGATTGAATCGGTCTTCGAGATCTGTGCGTCTTCCGAAGCCAACAAAGTGAATTTTGCAGCTTGCACCTTCACAGACAGAGCACTCACCTGGTTGATTGGTCGGGTCAAATCCCTAACTCTACCGGTAGCAAATGCTATAGGTTGGGAAAGTTTGAAGGAATTATACTCGCAAAATACTGCCCAAGGGGGAAAAATGTAGAAACTCGAGCAAGAGCTTTTGGAACCTTAAGAGGAAGGATTATGACATTGCTACATACACCGCTAGATTCTATGATCTGGATCTTCTTTGTCTGGGAATGGTCACCCCAGAAAGCAAAAAGATAGAAAGATACATTTGCGGACTGACGCCCCCAAATCAAGGAAATGTTTTAGCTACTAGGCCTTTCAATTTTGACAGCGCCAAGTGCCTGGCGCGGACTATCATAGATCGCGGAGTTGATCTTGATGCAGCAGCAGCCGCTCTCGAACCATCAAAGATGAGTGGTGGGAAGAGAAAGTTTTGGAAACAGCGTAAGGTCCAGTGTTTGCAGGATCCCTCCAAGAAACAACAAATGGTGGCAGTCCACGCTGCTACTACTCCTGCCACTATTCCTTCAGCTCAAGCACCTACCATTAGATATACTGGTACCCACCCTAAGTGCAGCAAGTGCAATTATCATTATAATCCTGACCCATTCCATGAAATGCTCTGCAACAACTGTGGCAAGAAGGGTCACACAAATCGTTTTTGCAAAACACTAGTCCAACCAACCAATCAGGCCTCTGGAGCAGGTGTTCATCAAGCCTGTTATGGCTATGGGGAAGTCGGGCATTATAAGACAAATTTCCCCAAGGCAACAACAACTAGCAACTCAGGGAGAGTACTAACTGTGGGGCAAGATGAGGTAGCTGCTAAACCTACTGTTGTTACGGGTACGTTCCTTCTTGACAACTCTTATGCATGCCTTCTTTTTAATTCTGGTGTGGAGCAAAGTTTTCTTAGTCGTGCATTCAAGTATCTTCTCAAACATAAACCCCAACCTCTAACCAAAACATTTACCGTTGAGATGGCTAACGGTGAGAAAGAGAGCACTAATGACATATTCATAGGTTTTACCCTTACCGTAAATGAGCATTCCTTTCCAATCGATCTGATGCCAATTTCCATAAAGGGTTTCGATGTCGTCATCGGCATGGATTGGTTGAGCCCCAATCGTGCTGATAACCTTTGTTATGAAAAAGCTATTGGTCTAAATCTCCCCTCTGATGAAACCCTCATGATTTATGGTGATAAACTCAACTCGAACCTCCATATCACTACTAGAAAAACAGCCTTTTACGACGCTCATTGCGCGTCGAAAAGGCTCAGACGACGCGCAAATGCGCATCAAGGAAGGCCCTGTCATAAAGAGAGACGATGCGCATTTACGACGCGCAATGTGTATCAAGGAAGGCCCTGTCATAAAGGAAGTCGACACGCATTCGCGTGTCGTAACCTTACAACGCGCCTGTTAATGACACACAATGCGTACCATTAAAACCCCTGTCAATAAAGGCCATGTCATAAATGAAGATGACACACATTTTTGCGTATCGTAAATTTAAATGTTTATATATATATATATATATATATATATATATATATATATATATATATATATATATATATATATATATTTGTTAATTTTTAAATTAAAATTGCATTTACTGTCTCATAATAGAAATAAAATACCATATAAAAAAAATACAATCCATTGCATAAAATTTAATGTCATATAATTCTATTTCTTATAATATGTAAATTTGCATTCATCTAATCTACTCTGTGTTTCATACTAACAATTGAAATGAAGAATGCAACACTTGCAGTTGCAACATCTTATCTCTTTCAGCTTGAGCTTTCTTTTCCTCTTCTAACTCCAAAGCTATTCGCTTTCATCAACACTGTAAACACAACACAAAACGACTTGTCATTTTCATGATACATTTAAAATTAATTATTATTAGGACATTCTACTTTTAAACCTACCTATCCAGCAAATTTTTCAAAGAATATAATTTATAATTTTTTAATGGAAAGTACATCGCTATTAAATTTTTCAAAGAAACTTACATGGACTTCTGACCACCATGAACCTGCAAGACACGAGACATCAAATAAAGCAAAATTAAAATTTTATTTTTTTTCCTTTCAGTAACGATTAACATTTAACAAAAAAACAAAAGGCCAACCCACTCCCTTTGCCTCATTCCAGCTAACCCACTCCTTGGAAACAAGGAAAAAAATATATATATCAAGCAACATTTTACTTATATTTGAGAGGTTTTCATATTGATTTATTTAGTTGTTAATAAATAGTTTGCATACAACACCTATGGTATGGATTTAGTATTTAGGGGAGGATTTACTATCAAGGAAAATGTTGAGGGTAAATTGTTCATTTCAATATTGGATGTACCGATACCTTTCTACGGGTGATTGCTAGCCACTCTTCATTTAAATATGGACCGAGACCTGATTCAACTTCAATAATCTGTTGAAATCAGAATTGGGAAATAAAAATATTTTTAAAAAGTCAACGAATAGTTAACAAGCAAGAAACTTAGTGACTTGACCTCCATCTGCATGTTGAACTAAAGCAGCAAGTTTGCAATGTAAATGAACTGAAAACCCTAGAAAGAATTTTAGTATAATGTTACAATAAACAAAATAAAGAAAGTAAATTGCTATTTTGAACATGTGAAGCATTATAACAACTTGCTATGTGACAATTCCTTTGACCTGTCTACCAATAATTGCACGTGACTTGATGTCTCTTTCAGATTGTGGTGCTTTGTCATCAGCAGCCTCCTGACCCAAATAAAAATTTTACAAAAAAATGGAAGTTAGAAAAGATGACATCAGCGAGTGAGGTTTTATTATGTTATAAAAAATGGAAGTTAGAAAAAACTATAAGCATGTTGACATATTTAGCATAAAATGCTAATTTAGTGACTTAATAGGCAATGAAAATAGTTTTTTTAGCCAAATTAATGAAAATGAGACATTTGGTTGCTATACTAACAGTAAAGTAATCCAAGATAAAAAGAGTTAACATTAATTTCACCTAGCAGCCTTGGCAACAAGGTGAAATTGATCATTTAACATTCCTAGAGAATAGAAGTAGCTTTCTCAATTGCTTAGAGCATGACCCTGATTCACCTTCAAGATTTTCATTTTCACATGTAAGGTCATCACCTGTGAAATTGATCATTAAACATTAAACATTCCTATAGAATAGAAGTAGCTTTCTAAACTGTCACTTCATAACCTCGATAGTCTACCTAACATAGCAGTGAACTAAAATCAACACATCTTCTCTAAAAACAGTATGTAAATAAGCAAAGGACTATAAATTAATTGGACACAAAAGTTGACCTCAACATTTTCTCCATACAAGTTAAGCCTATGATTTTCATTGTTGAAACTTGTGCAGGGTATTTGGTTCAAGAATTACAAGCCATGTCATCCACTAATATAAGAATGATCCTCTCATCAGGTATCCCTAGGGTATGAACTTTTGGAAAATACATATCAGTGTTAAGTACATAAGAATGTTAAGAGATTTGACCTTTTAGGCGTGACAAGACAGCATCTGACATATCATTGAATCCCAAGTTCAGCACTTTTAGAGACTTCAGTTCTGTATAAGTAGACCTCCATAGTTATAAATTAATGATTTTTAAGATAAATTATTGAAAAAATAAATATAAGGATACAGATCCTTACTTGAAAACTTGTCACACCCATCATCAGTGTAATAAGCGCCAACATAGCCTTGCTTTTAGTAGATTTGCTTTATTAGAAGTTTTAGGGGTAGTTTGGTCTTTTTGTTATTTTATCTATTATTGGTTATGTGGGAGCACTAACCTTGTCTCGGGTCTGTTTTTTGGGACCACTTCCCTGAGTCTTGTTTAGTATTTACCTCCCTGTAGGATTTTGTTTTGAGTAGCTAAGAATTAATTTGTAAGAGAACATTGTTCTTCTTTTGGAGAGATTCTCACCTCTAGAATTTTGAGAAACTATCTTTATGAATATTATCAAGAATTTCTGTTAGTGTGAGCTTTACAATGCCTGGAGTATACGATAGATTCAACAAGGATCTATCAAAGTGATATTAGATCTGCTTACATTCAGAAAAAGTAGAGCAACAAGATCTAAATAAAACAAACAAGTCAAATAAAAAAAATCAAACATCTAGTTGTATAATGAGATTACAAACAAGAAAATATAATGTGAACCTGAAAGTAAATCCAGGCATGTTGCAGTAATAGGGAAACGTTCCATATTCAGCAATGCAAGCTTGTGTAAACCTGAAAAAAGTAAATTTACTTAGATTTAAATTTTGCATAAAAAATATCTTTCACTAGAAATAATTCAAGTGACCTTTAAAGAATGTGACACCATTATCTGTGACCTTGCTGCTGGAGATTTGTAATTCTTTCAAGTTTCTTAGGTATGAAACATAAACAACAATGAATCATTAGCATAAATAATACACCATATTTAAATTCTTACAAGTTTATAATAAAGTTTATATTACAAAGCTACCTAAGAGAGGCTTCATATCAGCATCAGTAATGCAATTACAACAATTCATATTAAGTGCCTCAAGCTTTTTTAAACTTGCCATATATTCATTATACTTGATTATCTAATTCTAATTATTGAATACTAATTATGAGTACAAGAAAAAAAAAAGACCTCTTAAATGGACAAGGCCACCATGGATTCCAGAACATCCTTTTGTAGTGATGTTTGTGTTCTTCTTCAAACTCAAACTTATCAAGTTTGAAAGACCTGAAAAAAAAACAATAATATTAAGATTGTTTCCTTCAAATTCAATAAAGAATCATTACAAGAGATTACCAGTAATGAATCCAAGCCCAACATCAGAGATATGTTCATAGAAATTAAGGTTTAAAGCCTCAACATTCTTGCCTTCTTTAATATGTAACAAACCATAATCTGTAACATCAGAACTAGAAAGATATGCAGAAAGTAAAGATGATCCCTGTGAAGAGATGTACGAATAGAGTGCAATAAGCACTTCATTACACTTCTCTCTGCTAAGAACCTCAATGATTTCACACCCTTGTGCTTCAATCTTCTTACAGTAATAATAAAAAAGAAACAACTGCAAGACCTAAAGATCAACCAAAGGAATCTCCAACCAGATAAATTAGCTTCTTTGTAGATGAAGCATGTCCAAGCCTCACAGTTTCTTAAACAAATTGAATCAAATCTTCATATAACAAAAAATAGTTAATAAAATAGCTTCTAGTAATGTGTGAGTATATAAAAGCATATTAAAAATAGTTTCCAAATGGGTGTAAGCAGCAGAACAGGGGAACCTGCTTTCTGGTAACACCAATGGCTCCTAAGTGACTGTATACGTCCTCATAATCCATAATATATCATAAGAAGGAAAGACACAAGTTGAGAGAGGATTGGAAAGTGGTTCTTGTGTAGAGTGACTACAACATAAAGCCCGAGTTTTTCACCAAAAGCATGTTGCCCTAGCTCGTGATATTTGTCAAATCTTTTTCCTGGAACCATTTCGTGCATTTCCACTATTTTCCATAGTGTGTTGAGTGTAATCACCTAGAATAGGACTAATACTGTGATCCCAAAGCCCCTGAATCAAACAGATTGTATTTTATGAAAGTGGATTTTGTGTGGGGATTTTCATTGAACATGTTGTGTGCATCATTTAAACCAAAAAAGAATCTTACAGAGAAGACTTGGATTGAAGGAAAAGTGATACCATCCAAGTTGAGATAGAGGGTAAGGAAGACTGAGGACACCGACACCAACCAGGCCGGTGACATTGTGAAAGGCTGAATACCACCACTTTGGATTTCTGGAGGATGTCACTGGAAAGAAAAAAAACATTTGAGTCTTTTGCACTACCAGGCTCTAATTCCATGATTTTAACAAACTGATTCTCGGATTTGACCGTCTGGAAATCATTTAAAGCTTAATGATGATCTATTACATGTTATAGCGAAGGAGATGTAGGCAGAGTCTCGTTGACGGGAGGCTCGGAGGCGGCGATGGTGTTGAGGGAAAGATCGTAGAGGAGGGTGGAGGAGCAGAGTTTGTTTCCTATATATATATATATATATATATATATATATATATATATATATATATATATATATATATATATATATATATATATAGAGAGAGAGAGAGAGAGAACGTGTGAGAGATGAGTGGGAGATGACGGCGGAGTAGAGGTAACTGGCGAGGGATGGTTCAGATTCGGCGTCACGGTGAGCTTCGGCTTTGATTTCGGGAAACGTTTTTTGTTTACAAATATGTTGTTGAACCCTGAAGAATCGACCTAGGTATTCCCACCGCTGAAGATGAAGATGAAATTGAAGGACCTAGGGATTTTTCTTGCTATGTAGAAGAGGTGGGGGGATTAATTTTTGGGATTCAATAGGCGGGGGTAATTTTCGTCGATTTCATTTTCCGCCTAAAACGCGTGTTTCACTTAAAAATTATAAAGCGACACATTTACATGACGCACATTTTATGAAAGGCGCCCTACGCATTTCTTTTTTTTTTTTCTTTTCTGACACTAATTTTAGGGCACGCACAAATGCGTGCCCTCTATCCTTCAACTTTTGCAAATTTGACATTATTTTTTAGGCCACTTACAAATGCGCATCCTCTATCAGTGAGTGTCATTGTTTACGCGACAGGAATGTTATGCGTTCCTAGCCCATGTTGTTAACGAGAAATAGGATGTTAAAGACCTCGAGAGGATCCCTGAAGTCTGTAATTTTGCTGATGTATTTCCTGAAGAGCTTTCGGGAATCCCTCCTAAACGTCAAGTCGAGTTTCGTATCGACTTAATATCCAGAGCTACCACTGTAGCTAAATCCCCTTACCGCCTAGCGCTAGCAGAAATGCAAGAGTTATCCAGTCAGTTTAATGAGCTACTCAACAAAGGATTCATCTGACCAAGTTCCTCACCCTTAGGAGCCCCAGTCTTATTTGTGAAAAAGAAGGATGAATCTTTTCCGATGTGTATCGAATATCATGACTTGTACACGCTTACCGTCAAAAACCATTATCGTCTTCCCGAATCGACAACCTCTTCGATCAAGTTCAAGGAGCCAACTACTTCTCAAAAATAGACCTAAGATAAGGGTTCCATCAATTACGATTCCATGAAGGTAATGTTCCCAAAACAACGTTTTAGGCTTGATAGGGTCACTATCAGTTTGTAATAATGCCCTTTGGCCTAACCAACACACCGACGGTATTCATGGATCCGGTGAATCGGGTGTGCCACAATTTTCTAGACATGTTTGTGATAGTGTTCATTGAATATATACTTGTCTATCCCGAAGTGAGGAAGATCATAGCAAGCACTTGAGACTAGTACTAAAACTCTAAGGACGGAGAAGCTGTACGCAAAATTCTCTACGTGCGAATTCTGGATCCGAAAGTAACTTTCCTTGGTCACGTGGTAAGTGAGGAAGGCATACACGTCGACCCTTCTATGATCAAGGTGATAGAGAATTGGTCAGCACTGAAGACACTCACAAAAATTTGTCAATTCTTGGGCCTCGCTGGCTACTAGCGCAGGTTTCTCCATAATTTCTCCAGAATTGCTAAGCCTCTAACCACCCTAACTCAGAAGGGTGTACCCTTTACTTGGAGTGAAAATCAAGACACTACATTTGGAACATTGAAACAGGCCCTGTCCAGCGCACCTATCATGTCTCTGTCCAAAGGGATGGAGGACTTTATTGTCTACTGTGATACATCTAATCAGGGCCAAGGTTGTGTGCTCATGCTGAGGGGAAAGGTTATTGCCTATGCCTCAAGACATCTGGCAACACACAAAGCCAATTATTCAACTCATGCCCTAGAGTTGGGAGCAGTGGTCTTCGCATTGAAGATATGGAGGCATTATCATTACAAAACCAAGTGGACAATCTTCATTAACCATAAAAGCCTACAACACATTTTGACCAGAAGGAGTTGAACATGAGGCAACGATGATGGGTAGAGCTACTTAGTGATTATGAGTGTGAAATACGCTACATTCCTAGCAAGGCCAACATAGTAGTAGATGCCCTGAGCTGGAAAGAGTACTCAGGTCGTATGGTGAAGGAACTAACAATGACCATCCATTCCCATTTATCCGCACAGATCAGAGAGGCTCAATTGGAAGCTCTAAAACTAGAGAACGTGGCGGATGAAGCTATGAGAGGAATAGAGAAAAACTTAGAGATGAGGGGAGACATAGTCTATAACTTATGAACCGCATCTGGCCCAAAGTTTGATGGTTATAGAGAGGTTGTCATGAACGAAGATCACAAGACTAGATACTCCGTTCACCCAGGGTCGGATAAGATGTACCTAGATCTCAAGAATTTGTATTGGTGGCCAAACATGAAAGCAGAGATTGCTACCTTCGTGGGCAAGTGTCTAAATTGCACCAAGGTGAAGGTCGAATATCAGAAGCCCTTAGGTTTTCTTCAGCATTCGGAGATACCTGAGTGGAAGTGATAAAGGATTACTATGGATTTTATCACTAAATTACCCAAATCTCCGAGTGGGTACGATGCCATATGGTTAATTGTCGATCGATTAACCAAATCCGCCCACATCCTGCCAATCAAGGAAACTTTCAAAATGGAAAGACTCACGCGAATTTACATCCAAGAGATAGTACGACCACACTGTTGGGTTTTGAGAAATCTAACACTTCCTAAATGTGCATGCAACCCTAATAAACCTTGGATCTATGTTTGTCTAAATACATGCAAAATAATAATTTTCCAAGGTTTATAACCTATGTAACATGGCATGGGGAACATTTCAACATAAAAGAGTTAGAAGAGATTACATACCTTTTGATGAGTTTGGTTCTAAGGAGTTTGAGGCCCAAGCACCAATAGTGTGAATGCCTCAAATGGAATCACAAAACACCACAAACTCTTGGAAAACTTTGAGAGAGTATACACCCTTGTATAAAATCGGCCACACACAAGCACACACACACTAGTTCACTAGTTTCCTCTTAGGCTCCATTTCATGCTCCATAAGCATGCTTATATAGTGTGCATGGTTAGGGTGAAACCCTAATAACCCATGTCTTTTCCTTTCCAAGGATCCATGGGTTAAACGCTCCATGGATCATCCATGGACTTCCACATATGCCTAGCCCATTAACAAATGAGTATTAGCCCACACCATATAAAACAAATAGCCCATAATCTAATTAGTCTTCCTTTTAATCTCTAAATTAATTCATAATTAATTTAAGACTAAAACTAATTAAATAACGTAACTTCATATTAATATATTATAACACATAATATATTAATAAACATATGTGTATAACTCTCATAAAATTATCCATAATAGTTTGGATGAGATGCAACCCAAATGGACCATGCCGGTCGGGTCAAGTATATACCAAATAAGTTATGGACTTAGACACCTTATCCAACAGATTCCCACTTGGATAAGTCTAATAACTGTATTTGCCTATAACTTCAGGAACCAACCAGCAATCGTAGCTCTCGAAAACTCCCTCGAACTATGAAGACTCTGTTGAACTATGAAGCGCCATTTTAGTAAGTGATCACATAATCCTCTTTTCTCATGGTATCAGCCAGACAAACACATGGAACTATGTCTTGCTTATTGTCTAGCAGTTGTTTCTCGATTTTCCGATTTGTTTGACGAAGAACTTCACTGAACACATCGGTTTAGTTCTGACCAGGCCTGGTACATGGGTCAACACAAAATCATCGAGGGGCCCAGATATCGCTTCTATTTCTAGAAGGAACAGATAAACTTCGACTGATATGCTTGTTCTACTACTTATTGAATTGTACACAAAGGCACGTTTTATAACATCAAGTTACTGATGCATTTACGTGAAATCAATGCACAACCAACTCATAGGTAACAACTCATATCTCTAGGTTTGAAGATTTATATGATATTATCGTCTCACGATCACTCGAGATAAATTCCATGAAGTGATACAAGTGAACGTGGGTTTATACCAATACTCATAACTTATGAGTACTCATGAATGTTGCAGCAACCATTGCCATGTCTAAACACCTTTAAGGCATCTACAAACCCAATTCATGACAATCTTGATTCATACCTACTTCCGACGTATGATCGATTGTGGAGGTTTGAATAAATTAATTATTCTGGAAGTCAAAACATGCAAAACTGAAACAATAGTAAATAATTGACAATGATAGTAACACTTTACTCATAAATAAATCACAAATTTTATTCATCATCAAACGTCGATTACATTTTACAAGTTTCAGGAAAAACTATCTAATCTGCAAAACTAATATCGTCCCTCAGCCCGATGCGTCTCGCATGCTGAAAATGCTTAACCCTCGTCAGTCCCTTTGTAAGGGGATTTGCAGGATTCTCATCCGACGATATCCTCCTTGTCACAAGGAGTCCTTCTTCAATCTTGTGTCTTATGAAGTGATATTTTCTGTCAATGTGTCGAGATCTGCCATGATCTCTTGGTTCCTTGGCTAAGGTTACTGCACTATTGTTGTCACAGAAAATCTCTATAGGTTCCTTAATAGCTGGTACAACTCCAAGGTCTCCGATGAAGTTCTTTAGCCATATCGCCTCCTTCGCTGCTTCACTCGCTGCTATATACTCTGATTCACAAGTCGAATCAGCCACCGTCTCTTGCTTGGAACTCTTCCAAGAAATTGCCCCTCCATTTAAGGTAAAGATCCAGCCCGACTGAGAACGGAAATTATCCCTATCAGTCTGAAAACCAGCATCACTATACCCTAATACTCTCAAGTCATCACTGCCACCAAGGATAAGGACCCAATCCTCAGTCCTCCGCAGGTACTTGAGAATGTTCTTTACCGCTGTCCAATGAGCCTTGCCAGGGTT